ATGAAAAACAATGCGAATGTTATGCAAAAATGAACGACTCGAACCCTCTGATTTGCGAAACCAAGGGCGCACACGTCAAAGCCAGGTACGAATTCAAAACTGAGAAAATTTGTCGCTCGACCAGTCAAAAGGTAAAGCACAAGAAAAGTCCAAACGCAAAACAACCAAATTTTGGATCTGAGGGGCGAAAAATATTTCTTATGTTTCGCCGTCTTCACAATTTTCACATAGCGGTTGACTGCTGTCAAACCAAGGGTTGCTGGGGTCGCGTATGTGGTGAAAACATCAACAAAGCCTTGAATTTCGCATACGACGTCGCCAAAGTCCCATCTTCCAATAACAAGCGTTGAAGAAGCTAAAGGCATTTCAGTTGTTGCGCACAGCAAATCGCTGACTGCTAGAGCAATGATATACAGGTTGGTAGTCGATCGTAACTTTGGGTTTCTGTATACTGCAATACAAACCAGACCGTTTCCAATGATGCTTGTGATGTTCAGTGTAAGGTAGATGCCTGCCTCAGTTATAACAGCAGCTAAGCTTCGATTTGGTAGCTTCAGGTCTGACATCTTGTCTAGCAAAATAACGAATAAAAAATTTAATAACGAACCAGAGAAATAGAGAAAATATCATTTTATCCAGTGTATTTCGGCTTGATAAAAAAGGTTTAATGAACATATACAGTTGGAGTGAAGCGTTAAAATCACATTGCGTCAACAGCATTTATTTATCACGATTTACGTCTTTAGAATTTCAGGGAATAGGAATATGCATTGCTTCGTCCTAGCGACGCCTGTCATAAAATTTCCATATTACGAAAGGGAAAGGCAGATTGCAGTTTTGCATGTGTTTCCAGATCGATCACATGAGATCTTTATAAATCGCTGTCTATACCATTTTGATTTGTTTCCTTTTCAGTATTTTTCACGTATTTTCTTTATTTGTGTAATCATTGGATGCTTTCTAAATCTCCTTCAGATACAAAAAATCCATGCCTCTGAAGATATACTGTATATTTTCCTCACGTGAAACAAAGGATGCTAACAATATATTCGGATGGAATGCATGATTGATTACTAGTGTTGGAAATATTGTAAAGAGCTCACACATCAAACATGTTTCTTTGTCTTCTTTGTTTCCAATTTCATTGCTTGTCTTATTATCCTTAATATCTTTATTATTATAATCATGATTATTATTATAGTTGTCGATGTTATTATTATATTTATCATTCTTGTTATCACGTTTACATATCATCATTACAATCATAGTTCAGAACTGGTCAGCAGAAAAGTTCCAATACTTTGTTTTTCCACTTTACTTGGATCTGCATATCAGATATCGGCGCCAATTTATTTTATATTGCTGATTAGTCTTTTCGGCCTGCTGCGGATGATGTTGAGCAATACATTATTTGGCTTCCTTCAAGTCTACGTTGCTTAAGTAAGTCTTATCTTTGTATTTTCATATTTGAACGCTTTCGGTACTGGTGCGTTTCTTTTATTTTAGTTTTTGATTTGTTGATATTTGATATTTAAACAAGAAGCTCTCTCACCCATAGGTGATCTACAGAGAGGTCCTAATCCAAAATAACAACAACAAGTCAGCATTTAGGGCGCACTCCAGACCAGCTGGGCGGTCATGGCAATTAAGCACTGCGTCATCAGCATATAGGGCTACCTCCGAATGCTTGATAAAAGTGGGCAATTCATTTATATAAATAAGAAATAACAAAGGGCCCAAAATGCTGCCCCGAGGCACGCCATGCGTAACAGATAACAAATCAGACAATTCCGAACCGCAAGATGTACATTGCATTCGTCCATTAAGATATGACTCAAACCATTTAGCCGTGTCAGAAGTCACCCCAAAAGATGACAACTTTCGTAGCATGATTGTGTGGTCGACCGTATCGAAGGCCTTAGATAGGTCCAAGAATATGGCTCCACACAGTTTCAGTTGAGAACTACAGCCTTCATGGAAAGGGTGAAATAAAGATAAACGTCGCCTTAGGTACACAAAGACAAAGCTCGTTCACACTACCGTTTTTCTTCTTCCCTAGCTTTCTTTGCCTACTTTTCCTTCTGCTTATAATTCTCAAAGAACAAGAAGGACAATCGATATATTTTCTTTTGTCCAACTTCAAAACAGATTTTCTTAGGAACCAAAGGAATAAAAAAAAACGCCGCTCACTTTTGTTCGCCTATTGTCCTCCAAAAGATATACAGTTTGGACGTCCGCGATAACGCGGAGGCTGGCAATTCAATTAAGCGGACACCTGAAGTTTTGTGTTTAAGGGCATGCACGTGCCAACTTATTAAAAAACCTTTTTAAAACCTTTTTTTCCTCAATGCCAGAATCTTTACTTTATGGTTATTATTTTCCATGCTTTAATTATTTTAAAGTAACACGCGTAAGACGATTTTGCGGTAAGGCACCCTGCTTTGTCGATAGTAACCTTAGCCAAAAAATTTAGATACAGTCTCTCTACAAGCGGTCCGGT